CAACACTGTACTGAAATTAATTTTAGATCTTTTTTTGGGGACAGATAGAGCTTTCTTTTGATGGTATTTATTTACCACATAAAGAAAAAAAAATGTGAAATAAAAAACTGTTTTCCATACTTTGTTATTAAACATTTATTATGACCCATTTTTTTGGTAAAATATAAAAGACGGGGTTGTGTCGGGTAAATAGATACCAACATGTCAAGCCTTAAATTTCGTGTGCCCGCAAAATCGCAAAAAACTACCATACCCAAAATTGGCCATAGGCGACACTTTAAAAGCTTTTACTGCCCATCAATTTAGTGTTAAGAGTAATTGATGGCCCTACAATTTCGCTTGCTTTTTTCGAATTTTGCGGTGATATGTAACATGTGTGGTGTAATTGTTATTTTCACACGTAGGCTCATATAAAGCCTGTTTGCATTTGTATGTATGTGTACCTTGGGGTGGGGGCCATAAAATTTTTTTTATTTAATTTACATTACTTTGCACTCCGTGATTGGAGGGGAAGATCAGACCATGCAAGTGTGCTGATCTTCCAATCCAGCCACAGAGCCCTGTCGTGCCCTTCCTAGGCCTGCATGGAGGACAGCGGAGCCTGGTATAGTTGGCGGCAGAGGGGGCGCACACTTCAGCACACCATATAAGCGATCTGGCGGCTCTATAGCTACCCAAACGTTTGTATGTAACAGCCATCGCCGGCTGTTTAAAACTTTACACGTGTGAGTGGGAGTGGGAAAGGACATTTAAAAATGTAACCCATCTAAGAAGCAGCAGTCCGGTATGAAAACACTATGCCGAACTTCCTTTTAAAGAACTCCAGTTTTAAAGACCATGTGCATACAGAGTGCTATGAAGGAACTGCTATTCTCCAAACATAATTGTGTATAATTTCTCTTTTTTCCCCCCGGCTTTTGGAAAAGCTGAACTGTAAACTTGCAGTAATTTCACTCTGTAAAGTGAAGTGAACCAGTGTTCACTTCAAACATCCAATCACATGTGCAATCCAACCATATTTGCAGGGATTTAAAGAAAACAAACATCTCCTGCACAAATGGATTGAGGTTCATTTTACTTTGCTTCACTCTCCTGTCCATATGTCAGGGTGAGTGACATTAAAGCGGACAGCAGGAACGTTTTGTCAAATTCAGCATTAGCAGCAACCCTGCTATACATAACACATCTGTTATGAAGTAACATAACACATCGGATGGAGTCTAAGCTGTCAAAGCCAACAGTCAGTAACTGTACCAGATAGAAATTAGCCTGGTCATAAACAGCTCTAAAAAAGCAACTGTCCCAATTCTAAGGATGATGGGATAATTGGGCCATTTCTCATAAAAACATAGAAGAGGAACGGCAGAAAAAGACCAATTGGTCCATCAAGTATTCCCCTATTACTGTTGACTGACTTGCTAGGTCTGCTGAAAGTCTGTTCCAGGCATCCACTATTCTTTCTGAAAAATATTACTTTCTAAAGTTAGGTTTGAAGGTTTCCTACTACTAGAATGTCCCTCTGTTCCTGATCTTAGATTGATATGAAAATCTTGCCCCCTGATCCCTATTCAAAACCTTAATATTTTTTAAGAACTAAAGGAGAAAACATGTATTAACCCTTGCAGCGGGGCTACCCTGCACTGCAAGGGTTAAGTGCTCCTTTGTGTCTAGATGCTACAAAAAAAGTTATACTCACCAGGTCCTAGGAGCCGGCTTGTTCTTAGACCAGTCCCTACAGCCTCTCTCCCCCTCTGCTGCAGTGGTCTAAGGATCCTGCTGTCATCACACTCTATACACTGTGCATAGACTGTATATACATGTGAGGACACCAAGGACCAGTCCCATCTGTGCAGCGGAGGAGGAGACACAATTCAGTGATCACAGAAGCAGGGAACCGTCTCGGATGGTCTAGTGAGTATAACTTTTTTTTTAGCACCAAGACAAAAATGAGCACTTAACCCTCTCTCCATCCAATGTTCCTGGAAAGTTATCCAATGGTCACATAGATAATGTCAGGAGGCATATGTTACTTAAAAAAATTTAATTTCCTACAGCTCCATCCATTTGTAATAGGGTGAGGAGGATGTTGTATATAAATATCAAAAGATTTTATCTTTTTCTATAGACAGTTTCTATCTATGGGGGTTATTCACTTAGGAGCCAAAGGATCCAGCCGTAGCTTAGTCAAACCGAAGGGCTGCTCTACAGGCTATTCACTATAGCCCGTACAGCAGCCAAAGGCAGCCCAGCCGCTCAGACGAGACGAAGGCATATGCAGCCGCTCAGACGAGCCGAAGTGACAGCCGGAGCGGGGCTAACTGCCTGCCGTTGACAGCTGGGCGAGCCAGCCGTGATCTCAGGGCTGGCTCTGCCCAGTTGTAATGACAGATTAGCGTCCCCAAATGACCTGGAGATGCTGATCTGTCATTTAACAATAACAACTGGGCGGAGCAGGTCGTGACATCACGGTCGCCCAGTTGTTATTCATTGGCCGGGACCTGCTAGAAGACGGGACCTGCTAGTGCTGGCCAATAGGAAACAGTTTGGCGGAGCTAGCTGTCACTGCTAGCTCTGCTAAATTGTTTTTTTTTAATCATTATTTCTTTTTTATTTTTACTATTTATTGAACTTTTAAAAATATTTTTTCAACTTTTTTTTTTTTTTTATTGATTTTCTATTCTGCTCGGTACCACAGAGGCACCAAGCAGAATAGCCAAGCCGATTGCCGCTAGGCGGCATTCGGCTATTCGCACACTGCCGTTTGGCCCCTATGCGAATAGGGTCAAACAGGAGCAAGTGAGCTGCCGGAGCTTCGGCTCAGCCAATCCTGATGTTGGATCGGCTGAGTCGAAGTCCTTCTGCACTTCGGCTCAGCCGAACATGCAGAGTATGTTTGGCTGACCGAAGTGCAGCCGATGTACGGCTGATTTCAGCCGATGTACCGATGTGCCGAAATCAGCCCTACTGAGCCGTAGTGAATAGCCAAACGTTGTTCGGCTCACTTCACTTCGGCTGGGTTAATCACTCGGCTGCCTTCGGCAGCTTTGTGAATAACCCCCATGTTTATTTATTGACAACCAAGACCTAATTTCACATTTGTATCAATATACTCAAGCACAATGGAAAATGAAATACATGGCAGAAATAAAGGAATACCGAGCATCTGTATCAAAATATAATTGGCAGGCAACGCATAAAGTGTGTGACAATGGTGCTGAAAATATTACCCAATTAAAAAAAAACCTATGTATTAAACAGGCATGGAACATTTGGGCTCTTTAATAAGCAAATACATAGTGCACAGGTTACTGCGCTTCGCACACAGTCATGGCACTTTACACTTCCTTATGAAATATACCACCATAGTGAGAGAACATCTTTAGATCCAAAATATTAAAATAGTTGTATTTTACTGACCAAAATAACAGTGAATAAACACATCCAACAAATGACTGTAGTGCACCCTCCAACTAATATACTGGCTTATCTTCACTCTACATATGCCCGACATATCCCACAAGCTAACATCCTCAATAAATTCATCATCTTACAATTACTCTCTAAAGAAAGACTACAGCCCTTAGCTCCTTATTGGACATTTCCTATATTCATAGTCAATTCTGTCTTTTGAATTTTGGACTCATTACTACAAGAACTCATGGAAAGGAAAGTGTCTTTATGGCTTATAGCGGCAAGTTGGATTCAGTGTGTTATTTTTCCAGTAAAGGTTGGAAAATTCCTGCAAATTCTGTCCTATGTTTTCATACTAGAAGCAATTTTATTGTCATATGAAACCTGTTGTAAGAAATTCCTATTGCAAGCATCTTTGAATAGATACCTACTTTGGCCGTTACTTTTTCTTTATTGTATAATATGTAATTCTTCTAGCAATTTTCTCTCTAGTTACTGCCTGTCTGAGCTGTCACTTCCATATGATTCTATGGAAGGCTCTCCAACACCCAAAGAATGGGACACTGGCAGAAGTGAAAGGTGGAGATCACTGGATCTGTCAGTGTTAGTATATTGTTACCTGCAGACCGGAGTCGTTACACTTTACTCAGAAAAAAATATTGCTTTAGTTTAGCTGGAGTTAATTTCTATTAACCCTTGCAGTGGGGCTGCCCCTGCACTGCAAGGGTGAATTGATCGTTTTGGTCTAGGGAGGAAAATAACAAAGTTATACTCTGGCTGGCTGTGACATTTCTCCTTCCAGTCTGTCTCCTGCACCACTACAGCAATGTTAGGTCCCTTGGTGTACTCACATCCTATAGACTGGGTATAGAACATAATGATTCAGGGACCTTAGAGCGCTGCAGCGGAGGGGGAGCGAGGCTGGGAGGACCGGTCTAAGAACAAGCTGGCTCAGAGTATAACTTTTTCCTTCGTAAACAAAAACAAGCAGCTAACCCTTGCAGTCCGGGGGTATATATACCCAATCACTAAAATCACTAAAATCTTATAGAAGCTTTAACAGGTTAATTTAAACATAATTTTCAAACTTTTACATTTACAGCTTTAATTAAGCTAATATTTAGCAATCCTGCCATGAAGGTCCTGGGCAGACTCTTCTATGGTGACAACACTCTGTTTTCTAATTGTTCTCCTGCATTGTCACCATGTGACATGCTCTCCCAATAAAGACTACAAGTGGCAGTACACACATTGCACAGGCATGTTCCACTGTTATAATCAAACAGGAAACCCACCTGGAGTGCATGATTGTGGACAGAGATGGCAGGGATAGGTAAATCTGGCAATCCAGCTGTGCTAAAACTACAAATGCCATCATGCTTCTGCCTCTGGGAGTCATGCCTGTGGCTGTAAGTCTTGCAAAGTCTTGGGACTAATTACAAGCATATGGTAATTGTTTATGATACCCAATGCTTTAGATGATTACATGTGATTCAGTTAAAGTTTACACCTACTTTAGGTCTCATTTTCAAAGTTCTATAACTTACTGCATGTATTTTGTACATCAACCCACATATTCTTTATCTTACCTTGTATGCATCTTTTATGTTTAAAGGCTGTCCATACTCTGCTACATAGCCTACAATGCCCTTACTCCACTCCAGACGGATGCAGTTATTTGAAGCCTCCTCCAGTGTTGTGCCTTCAGCTACATCAAATAGTCTGCTGACCAGAAACTTCTCATTGGAACTATCCTCGCACACCAAGAAAAGGGAGTATCGGTCCGCAGATATAAGTTCATTAATGTGTAAGAAGATTTTATGACAAAGGGCAGTGACGTCTAGATGACTTGATATATCTTTCACCAGTTCCAGAAGCCTTGAGCACTGATCGCTTGCAGTCGATATAATGGGGGGTTGCAGAGGCATCTGTTCCTTCTTTTCTGAATCGGCAAGAAATGTCAGTGCTCCCTCAGAGTCTTTAACTACGATGGGCCTGAGAGGCCGGTCAAACTCCGAAGCTGAAATCTTTCTTACTGGTGCCCCTTGGTTGGTGATTTCAGAAGACGTGGCCTGCTGGTTATGTTCTGTATTGCTTTTGCCTCCTTCTTTTGATGCTGGTATTGTATGAACCCTTTCAGCAAACCATGCATTGACCATTTCTCTAAAAAGGAGAGAAAACTGATAAATATTTCACAACGAAGAAGCATGTGATTGATGGAAAGTGTCACCATGAAATATTTAAAGTGACCATCACTCCCTTAACCTTTACTACAGAAAAGAAATGCACTGCGGTCCAAAGTGTGACATCTGCATTGTCTGTAATTTGGCTGGGGTCATTTTAACAATGAAGAAAGATACAGATATTTGATACAGCTGAATAAAACCGTGTTTTTTTTAGGGTCTTTCCTGTGAAGTTAGAGCCCTTACTGTGTTAAAGATATCAGATACTTCTTCTAAAATTATTTGGAGTACTATCAAATGAAGAATAAACATGATACAAAATGACCAGAGCCAGAATTAAATACATTGTATTCTAATGTTTTCCAACATTTCTGAAGACACAGCTTGTTAGATCCCTACAGTTACTATAAAAGGTATTAAACCTCTTGGAAGTTTTCAGGTTTTATTGTTATAGACTAGTGAATCTTCATATATTAAGAGGGGTATTCACAAAGCTAGCCAAAGGATCATCCGTAGCTCCGGCTCATCTTTCGGCTAGCTTCAGCCGCCTGAGCCCTTAGGTTCAGTAGAACCGAAGGGCTGCTATACGGGCTATTCACTATAGCCCGTACACCTCCCGAAGCTGGCCGAGCCGAAGGCATATGCTTCGGCTCCACTGAGCCGAAGTGAAACCTGAAGGAGGCCGATCAGCTGGCCGAAAGCCTCGCAACTGACAGCTGGGCGGAGCCAGCCGCTCCGGCCAGTTCAGCAACCCCAGGAGACTCTAGCAGGTCCCAGCCAATAGGAAACAGTTGGGCGGAGCTAGCTTTCACTGCTAGCTCCGCTCAATTGTTCCTTAAAAAAAAAAAATCTTTTTTCATTGAACTTTATTTTTGGTTTTTAATGATCTTTATTTTTATTTTTTCAATAATCTTTTTTTTTTATCTTTATTTATTTTTTAACTTTGATCATTTATTTACATTTGGAAACAGTTTTTTTCTACATTTTGTTTTTTTCCCAACTGTTTTCATTGTTTTACTATTCTGCTCGGTTCCTCCGCTCAGCAGCATTCGGCTATTTACTCACTGCCGTTCGGCCCCTATGAGAATAGGCCGAACGGCAGCGAGTAGCCTGTCGGAGGTTCAACTCAGCCGATCCAGATGTTTGTTCGGCTGAGTCGAACTCCTTCTGCACTTCGGCTGAACTGAACATGCTGAGCATGTTCGGCCGAACCGAAGCCAGCCGTAGCAGGCCGATGCACGGCTGATTTCAGCCCTTGTAAGGCTGAAATTAACCGTACAACAGCGTTCGGCTCACTTCACTTCGGGTCGGTTATTCACTCGGCTGCCTTTAGCAGCTTTGTGAATAACCCCCTAAATGTTGTCTGTTAACAGAGAATATGCAAACAGGAAGCTTTATGGGTCAAACTAAGTACAGCAAACCATATATCTTTCTTTATTTCTATATCTATATTAAATAGCAGAAAGACACACATTTCAAAATGTCTTGAATTACCTAGATGGAAATAACCTGCAACAGGGCTCTGTGTAATCATTATTATCATATAGATAAGAAAAAGGATGTACGTTCAACGAAAAATAGCCAGTAGATAGCCGGAATGTCCAATATTTCTTTCAATCACGTCAAACACTTGTATTAAGAAGTAATAACTTTGCATATAAGGCCAACAGAAAAAAAAACTTAGCCTATAGAAAGTCATTCTGGTTTTATTTCCTGTGATGATAATTATGTAGTATGGAGAAAAGCAAATGGGAAAACAAAAATGTAATAATAAATGTGTGCATAGGGTCGTGTGAATTCGGAATGGGGCCCTGCCTATGATGCAAATCTAAAAACTGCACTGGTGTCTTTCAGTTCAGTGGCCTAGCTAGTTCCTATAATGACAGTGTTATTTCAGTTTTTTTGCAATTCCCTGGGGATATTAAAGGACAAATGTGCTCATCATGAAAAATCTGCACTCCCTTCCAAAAGATGACTTCACTGTGTACAGCTTTTCTCTGTAGAAAGAAGGCTACAGACAGGAATAGCTGTGACATCATTTAACCTCTTGGCTACATGGACTCCTCTGCTTAAAGTGAACCTGTTCTTTGGTAGCATTAAAGGGGAACTATAATGTTTTACACTTTTTGTAGATGAACAACACCAATAAAGCATAAATACTGTCAATAAAGCATGCATATGTTTAAAAATAAATTGGATATAAACAGAATGGGGGGGATTCATCAGAACTGGAGCAGACAGAATCTGGAGCAGTTGCCCAATTAGCTTCCATCTTGTTTGTTCAGTTAAACATTGAAACTGAAAGAGAGAAGCTGAACTCAGCAATAAACTCTAATGAAGTCACAGAGCTGCACTGTATCTGGTAGTCAGAGACCACGTCACCTTTGCCTACAACCTAAACTGAAATATGTCCAACTGATTCATGTCAAATGTAACTTCAAATGGATCGGCATCATCATACAATAAGCTGCTGGTACATACCTTCAGTTTGAGGGTTTGTTTACACCAGCAGTTGCGCTCAGCTGCACGGTTGCTGGTGTGCTAATGTGCTCGATCAAGCCACTTCTTTTTGTCAGAACTTTATTGAAATTATGTTCTATGGGCTCACCGCATCGCAATGTAGTTGTACCCTGTCTGACTTTTTTTTAGGGCACACCACCGGAACACAGTGGTTACATAGTTACATAATTAGTCGGGTTGAAAAAAGACACAGAACACTATGCCCCCAATGACCCACTGTTGATGGTGTAAACTGTCACCATCCATCACAAGGCAAAATGCCTTGTCTTGCGTTCAGGCTGTGCTGGAAAAAATGCGTTCGGCAGATGGTGTGTACGAGGCTTGAGTGAAGGGATGTTAGTGCACTCCAGCAGCATTTTTCATCTGAAAATGCTCATATTTCCCAATCGTGGCATCTGCATATCCACACACACACTTTGCAATGTAGGGGCTATGAAGGCATGCTGGGGCTCCATTTCCACCTTGTTCTATTATTACAAAATACTCATTCTTTTAGGGGTTGATTTATATTTCTTTCACCCAAGATTCACACATTTTCCAAAATGAATCCAATTAGAATAATGTGTAAATCTTTGGTGGAAGCTGTGTGAATTTTGCGTGAAAACATTTATAAAAAAAACCTTTACATTTTCTAAAAGAAAACATTCCCTTCAAGCTGTTATATATTAATAAACCAACCAATATGCAGCCATTTATTGCCTGGAAATCCATCCCACATTGTCCTTATTAAGGTTTACATCATAATATTTGATATATTTTTAAAGCACTGACCACCCACAATTTTTTTTTTTTTTTTAAACCACCGACAAATTTAAATAACTTAAAAATTGGATAACTTATACGGTTCTATTCATTAGGGGGCTTTTTCCAAAACATTTCCTTTGACTTTGGGATTTCGAATACATGTGCATATGTGACAAACAAACTAGGGTTGATTTACTGCAGGAGAATGTTCACTTTGGAACAGCTTAGTTTCTAATGGTCACTAAACTTTGCTCAATATACAATCATGTGCAAGGAATTATAATTAAAAAAAACAGAAGTTTTGTTTGCTCGGGGGCCCATTTAAAGATTTAAAGTGACACTAAAATCTTAAAATGCATTCAAGTATCTTAACTATTAACAAAAGTGTATGTTTTTTGTGCATCACTCAAATCATCTCTGAATTGGTGGTGACACTGTCCTTCCTTCTGGAGGGTGGCTACTTTTCTTCCCCATGGTCCCTGTATGTGTTGAAAAGTAGCCACCGCTCCCAGCTCACTCCCATGATGGCCTACAATCTTAATACTAATTAGTAAACTAAACATGAGATTGTAGTCCGTCACAGAAGTGAACTTGGAGCCTTCATAACCTTTTAAAGTTCCGCGTAATCAGTAGGAAAAGGTAAAAACATTATAAAAATCTATAATGCAACTTTGTAAGTCCATAAGAGAAAAAAACTATTCCACCTTTCCTACTTCACCCGGATCAATTTCACTGTGCCTATTGGTACTTCACAAAAGTTGAATAAATTCAAATGAGCCCCTAAAGCATTTTATGGACAGAATTCCCTTTACATAATTTGGGGGTGATTCAATATAGGTGTAATGACTTCTGTGGACCAGCCATAAAAACACAATTTTAGTAATTTGGCCCCGTTACATTGTGGTTTCAGTTGGCTGATTGATTCCATTTTATTACAGTACTTGCAATGTTTTTGCTCTCCTTTTTTATCAAATAAACTTCAATCCCTTCACAAAATGTTGTTGTCACATACCAATACTGTCGACATTGTTTCCGGTGGTTTATTTGTTGAAGTCATTTGTGTAACAGTTGTTCAGTCACTGTCATTTTTTTTCTATCCAAATACCGAAATAAAAAAGTCACATTTGTCTAAGACAGGAAATAAATGATCATTTGCTAAAGCTGTGATAATATGTTGTTTGTGCTTGTCAGCTTTTTTTAGAATACGTTCCCTGTGGTTACACATCGAAGAAGGTTATTTCAAGTTATTTACACACTGAAAAAAAATGTGAACACAGCAATAAATGTTTAGTCCTCCACAAGGGAGCATTATTCCTCATATTAGATGTAAAATAGGTTTTAATCTGCTGGGTCTAGCCACAGCGCACAATATTGCGGCACTGAGGGAAAGACGGCTGCACGTCTAAATCGGGATGAATTAGTAAAAGAGAATTACAGTTTGAAACAGTGAATAATCCAAGTTAAAATGCACATAAGGGAGTCACAGATAAGAAAATACAACACCCAAGTCATTTCCTCTAGCAATCAACTAAATTAAAAGGAAATGCTCATAGAAAGGGAATGTTTTTACCAAACAAGTAACTGCAAATTCAAAACAGGTTCTGCAATTCCTCTCCAACGCATTAAGGTCTCTTTCCAGCTAGCTGACAATTTCATCACCGTTTCTGACCCTACCTGAACCCCCAGCATGACTTAGAGGGGTCCTTTGTCCTGTAG